CCCCTGAGCTGCCGTGCTGGGAGTGAGGGTGAGCTGATGGCCCTGGTGACAAAGCAGAGGTCCTGGAACTGGAAGGTGGGTGGAGAGGCCGCCAGTCCTCTCCTTGCTAGGGTGCTACAGCTGGCTGGCTCCTGGAGGTCAGTATCGTCACTTCGTGATTGGTTCTGGAGCCACCTTCCTCTACGCTCACTTCTACGCACGCTCAGCGCCGCTAGGCTCAGGGAATGTCCTTTTATTCAGTATTTTACAGATTACGAAGCACTGACACAGGGGCTCAGTTTGTTCTTACAGGGATTCCGTGAGCACGGTAAGATGTCGGTCAACTGCAGTGGGTTTTTGTGGTTTTTTTTTTTTTTTGCTTTCTTTTGTTGTTTAGACAGCAGTTCTCACCTGGTTGCCTGGGTGAGAGTGCCGTGGCGATCAGCCCAGCTCACAGCAACCTCAAACTCCGGCTTAGTGCACCTCCCTGCCTCAGTTCTCCCAACGTAGCTCGGTGACTACAGTGCTTTTGCCACGCACACCCTGACCAATTTTTGTTTTATGTTTCCAGTTATCCCAGCTAATTTTTCTTATATTTAGTAGATGGGTTCTCACTCTTGGCTCAGGCTGGGTCCTTGAATCATGACCCTCAAGCAAATCCACCTGAGCCTCCCAGAGTGCTAAGATGTATACCGGCGTGAGCCACACGCTTGGCCTAGACTATGATTAGAAGGTCTTCAGAGATAGTCCAGCTAATTTGGAAAAGACATTAATTGGGAACTCTCATAAGCTAGACTCTGGCTCGAATCCACTGTGGTGGTTCACCGTGACCAGCACCAATGCGCATTACCATCCTCCCGCTAGAGATTTAGCATGCTCTCGGAAAGCCTGCGCTCTGGGTTGAGCGTGGCAGGTCTCCTGCCAGTTTGATAAACGCCTCCTCACTTCCTAATTTCTGCCACTCCACTTTTTGAGCCAGACTGACCCGATGCATCATTTGGCTAAGAGGCCCTCACTGGACTGTGCAGATTGGCCTGTCTTGTCTTGTCTTAAGAAAGGCTCCAGTGTCACTATAGTAGAAAAAGTGAGAAGTACAAGCTGCCTGAATAACCAGGTGCAGTAGATAATGGAGAACTTCACGTAATTGAGCATGATGAAAGCTGACATAACATTAGTGACCATGAATGCCCAAAATTGGCCCTCAGAACCGAAGCCATGCTCTCGGCATTGCTTTGGGCCATTCTCTCCATAGCCGCAGTGCACTTCTCCTGCCACTAATGGCAGACCTTTTTAAGCAAGATCCGTCCAAAGCCACATGCTGTTCCCATAAACAAATGAACTACTTTCATGCCCATCGCAGTGGGGGAGGGAATCAAAATCTTGTGTCAGTGAGTTCCGTGGGAACTGAGGAATTTCAGGTCACCACCCACTGGAGTGGTAAGTTGATATCCACCCATTTTGGAGAGGAATGCACAGTCGTGTTCAAGCTGTTGACCCAGCAGATACGTCCAGCGTTTGACCTTGGTAATCGATGGTCAATTCTGTATATATCGCAGGCACTGTTCTACAGTGCTTGCTTCATTTAATCCTCACAACGCTTAGAGAGAACTATTCCTCCTCCAAATTAACAAATGAGTGAAATCACGCAGAAGGCAGGTAACTTGTCAACAGTGCAGAGCAGTAGGTGACGAGCCAATGTGCCTGTGTGCTGCTCTGTCTGTGTCCAGCAAAGCACGTTACCTGCAGTCCATCGCATGACAGTAAATAATGAGGCATATCGGCCGCCAGAACAGGTAACATAACGCACTAGTGTAAAGTGGCGCAACTGAACAGCTCAAAACAAATCGGCGAACCAAGTAAGAATCGAAAAACACAAAAAGCAAATTGTTATCATTCATGCAACCAGTACATGTAGTAACAACTATAAAGTGATACACAGTAACAGGAAAAGTACACACCAAAATTTATGATGTTTGTCTCAGGGAGAGGAAAGGATTAGGAGACAAAAAAGGCTTTAGTTTATCAGGAGGTCTAATTCATTTTAGTCTATCTTTTTTTTGGAACAGAGTCTTCTCTGATGCCCGACAGAGTGCCGTGGCCGTCGAGCCTTCGTTCACAGCAACCTCAACGGGCCCAAGCGATCTGCTGCCTACAGCCTCCGGAGAGCTGGACTTACAGGTCCAAAAGCACCATCCCAGAAACTATTCATATAACTTGGTCACATTCACATAATAATATACGGTTCTCATCTTGCTAACACTCAAACTCACACCAACACCAACACACAAACAAACCAGAGAAAAAAGATTAAAACAACACACCACAACGGCTTTTATCTAATCATCATGGTACTCCTGAACCAAACCATTAACACTAGTCTCACAAATGCAACAAACACACTCCCACACTGTACTGAAAAGCAACACACAACCTATACAACAACCCAGGGGCTTCAACCAGAGATTCTCTCTAAGTTCCCTCCAACAGTAATAATAATTTAAATGATCAGTAGTTAACATTCAGGAACAGACAAAAATTGCTGCTCAACTTAAGTGCTGGAGAGGGGGTCTCTTTATTTACATTGATTGTTTAACACACACAATGCTAGCCAGAGTGATGTGCCATTGGCGTCAGCCTAGCACTCACCAGCAACCTCAAACTCCTGGGCTCCAGCAATCCTTCTGCTCAGCTCCCAATAGCTGGGACTACAAGGCATCGCCACCATGCCGCATTTTTCTATATACCTATTAGTTGCCAATAGTTCTTTCTATTTATAGTAGAGACGGTCCTCGTCGCTCAGCGCTGGTTTCCCGAACTCCTACCGACAATCCGCCCGCCTCGGCGTCCAGAAGCTAATCAGGCTGAAGCACCGCCCCGCCCATTGATTTGTTTAAAGAATTTCTCTTTAGGTACCAGCTCCAAAGTTGTTTCTTTAAAAATACAAGTCCCAACTATCCCCTTTCTTTCTTTCTATTTATTTTTTTCTTTTAAGAACCAAGGTACATCAAGGTGGTTCACTGGACAAATAAATTCAAAAAAAAAGAAACCAAGGGTCTCAGCGCACAGAGGCTCATGCCTGTAATCCTACCTCTGGGAGGCCCGAGGTGGCGGATCGCTCTTGACGCTCAGGAGTTCGCAGACCAGCTGGAGCAAGGAAGGAGCGCCACAATACCTCTACAAATGAAAGAAATCAAGTGAAACTAAAAATATATCAGAAAAATAGCCTGGCATGGTGGTGCAGCCCTGTATCCAGCTACTCAGGAGAGACAAGGATTGCTTGAGCCCAGGACTTTGAGGTTGCTGTGAGCTAGGCCAACGCATGGCACTCTAGCCTGGGCAATAGAGTGAGACTCTGTCTCAAAAATAAAAAATTAATTATACTTAATTACAAGCTCTTCTTACTGTGAATCCTCAGTTTCGTGTTACTGAAGTCTAATATGCCATATAGCACTCAGGGGAAGCGGTGGTACCTGATAATTAGTGATATACACCTCAATTCTTGAAAAATTTCAACTCATTTAGGAGCTCAAATTCGACTTTCTCCTCCTATGCCTCTGTAGTGACAGTATCTGTTTTTCCTTGACGTTTACCTCTCAGGAGATTGATACTTCTTCATTTGGTGAAATCTGAGGAGTATCAGGATTCTTATGAGAAAGTGGTGAGCTCTTGAGCAGTTCAAGAGAACCTGCCCGGGATTTACCTTCATTGTTCTCATACCAACCACATCTTCCTGGTCAGCTGCTTCTGAGGAAGTCTTCAGGAGACCCTTATCTTAGGAGACTCATGGTACAAAGTGACAGGTCTGAGTTGAATTTGTATTAACACTAGAGAACAACTCTATTAAAATGAAATTTTGTTGGGTCTAGTCTCCTAATTTCTAAGGATTAGTGAGGCTTATCAGAGCAACAGGGTAAAATATGTTAGTACAACTTTTAACTGTCTCACTTCATTTTTGACTTTGGAAATTACAGACTACAGGAATATATGATGCTCAAAAAAACCCCAAAAAAACCAAAAACACACACACACATAAATTCAGAAGTATACAGAGTTAATACAAAGGTCTCCCTAATGTTCCTGCCTCCTATCTGAACCTTGCTTTCTTTGCCAGGTGACGATGGTTGAGCAAGCTTAGCGAGGACACTTATGCATTTACACAGAACACATACCAAAGCCACTGGGTCAGTGGTAAAATTTTGAATTTAAAAGCAAGTCCATAGCCTGGGCACAGAGTGAGACCCCCATTTCTACAGGAAAAAAAAAAAGAAAATTTGCCAGTATAGTATCACACACCTATAGTCCTAGCTACTGGGTAGGCTAATAAAGTAGATGAATCACTTAGGCTCAAGAGTTTGAAGCTGCAGTGGGCTATGATTGCACCACTGCACTCCAGCCTGGGTGACAGAATGAGATTAAAAACAAAAAAACAAAACCAAAACCAAACCAAAAGTCCAAACCTTTTCTAGGTTTATGAAATTATCCTATAAACACACAAATTGAAATAAAAAGAAACAAAACTAAAAGCTTCATTACACATTCCTTATATTTTATTTCTCACAAATAATGGCTAATAAAAAGTGAAGAAGATGTCTCTCTCCTCCGGTGAACCCTGGGGACAGGCTTGGCACACCCAGCTCACTGCCTTCCAATCTCAGTTCAAAGACTGGGCATCCTGCCCAGGACACAAAACGTCTACCAAGGGAGCATAAGAGTCCCAGCATCGACCATCCCGCTGCCCTCTTTTTCAGGTAAATAATAGATGTAGAATAGTTGGTATGCTACGTGCTGAAGTCCAGCTCTTTAAATCTAGACTTTCCTGGCTTTTCAGATTTTTGGTAGCAATACATTTCAACAAATTAACACTTCTGTGTGCGTTAATGTAGCACTCAGACCCGGTGGCACCTATGCACGTTTTCAGATTACAGTAACCAGCAATCTTATCTTCCCAACTGCTGAATGTTCTCACACAGCATCTGCTCCCCCATCGCATTTCTGCATATTCTGATTCTTTTTCTTTTCTGTTATTCTTCAGTCGAAGAAGCCACTTGGCCCAGTACTGGGAACAAAGCTCCGCATCCATGAGATGTGAGTGGCAGGTGATCCGTCTTATAGGCCACCACAATTAAGCCACACTGAACCTGGAAGAAACAGAGGGCAATTCTAGTATTGTTACAGTAGGTCCAGAGTTTAGGTTCATTTCCTTCTTACTCCAGGGCAAACTCAGTCAGCTAAATAATCTACAGTAATATCTCCTAACTTAGAAATTAAGGTGGGTTGATGAAAGACTGCACTAGGACACATAGGAACACACAGATGAGAGATAAGAGAATGGATTGAGATCATAAAAGAACTATAAAAAAAAAAAAGCCCAGGAATAGGGGGGACGATGCTTTTTTTTTTTTTTGAGAGAGTCTCACTTTGTCGCCCAGGCTAGAGTGAGTGCCGTGGCATCAGCCTAGCTCACAGCAACCTCAAACTCCTGGGCTCAAGCAATCCTCCTGCCTCAGCCTCCTGAGTAGCTGGGACTATAAGCATGCGCCACCATGCCCAGTAATTTTTGTTATATAATATTTTAGTTGGTCAATTAATTTCTTTCTGTTTATAGTAGAGACGGGGGTCTCCCTCTTGCTCAGGCTGGTTTAGAACTCCTGACCTCGACCAATCCGCCCACCTCAGCCTCCGAGAGTGCTAGGATTACAGGCATGAGCCACCGCGCCAGGCTGGGAAGATGCTTTTTAAAGTGGGAGATGGACAAGAGGTAGAGTAAGCAGTGGGATAAAAATAGAGTAAAACCCCAAGAACTTAAGTAGCTTTAAGCACTGAGCAAAGCTTAAAGTAGAGACTCCGTGTCCTGACCTGAAAGCTGTAGTTGGCATCATGGTTCATGGCACCCATGTATGCCACAACTTGCAGTGGGTTGTCAAATGTATTTCGGATAAAAGGTTTTGGTTTCTCTGATGTCTTCCAATCAATCACACACAGCTTACCCCTAAAGAGAAACCAAACGAAGTTTTTGTAGATAATAGTTCAAACTGAAAAACTCTATTAGGTTAACTCTCCTTTTATGCATAAGTTTACTGCTTGTCACCCAATGATCATTGCTTTTGTTCTCCACTTTTTTTGTTTTTTTTTTTTGTTTTTTGACACAGGGTCTCACTATTTTGCCCAGGCTGGACTTGAACTCCTGGACTCAAGCATTCCTCCCACCACAGCCTCCTGAGTAGCTGGGACTACAGGTATGTACCACCAGATCCAGCTCTCTACTTTTTTTTATTTTTTTGAGACAGAGTCTCACTTTGTTACCCAGGCTAGAGTGAGTGCTGTGGCATCAGCCTAGCTCACAGCAGCCTCAATCTCCTGGGCTCAAGCATCCTACTGCCTCAGCCTCCCAAGTAGCTGGGACTACAGGCATGTGCTACCATGCCTGGCTAATTTTTTCTGTATATATTAGTTGGCCAATTAATTTCTTTGTATTTATAGTGGAGAAGGGGTCTTGCTCTTGCTCAGGCTAGTTTCAAACTCCTGACCCCGAGCAATCCACCCACCTTGGCCTCCCAGAGTGCTAGGATTACAGGCATGAGCCACCGTGCCTGGCCTGGAAGACTTAATATCGTTAACATGTCCATACTACCCAAAGCAATCTACAGATTCAATGCAATCCCTATCAAAATTCCAATGGCATTTTTCACAGATAGAAAAAAAAAATCCTAAAAATCGTATGGAACCACAAAAGACCCCAAATAGCCAAAGCA